TATATATTATAGAGATGTACAAACTTTTTTTGTATAGCTTTCTGAGCTTCAAGATAAATTTTACCAATTGAGAAATAAATTTTCGCAAAAAAAATAAACTAAGAAATAGGTTTTTGCGGAAAAAAAACCCGCATGGCAAATAAGACTAAATTACACCGTCTATTGTCTACTTGTTCTATAATGTCATCAAATGTCTTACTCTATAAGAGTTGATTCTCTATATTCTATATTTGTGCTTATTTCATGGTATGTCAGCCAATAACACCCAGAAAAGACAAGAGCATTACCAAGAGCATCCAGAATGACATGTATCTACTTTATTGTGTGATTAAATAAGAACAGAAATAAACAGAGTAACATAGGTGCGTAAATTTATTGAACGAGTGAACGGAGAAGAAAATAACTCGGAACCTGCATCTGAGCTCAGCGCTCAATAATGAACTTGTATCAGTAGAACTAGCAGCCACAAGAACCAAATCCAGAGAAGGTAACAGATCAATGATTTAAGGATATCAAACGCATGCCATGACTCCATCAGAGGCGCATGGATAGATGACCTTCATTGTCGATTCTGCTCCGGCAACAATTGGCCTCAAAAGAACTACGAATCGATCCGGTCGTATTGCCTGACGTGAGGGAGTAAAAGAAAAATGGAAGATGCAAAAATATGCCGGAGAAGAAACAGAATATTTAGTTGGCTTTTAACAACATATCCATAAAAGTGCACTCCTTTTACAAACTAGTAACTGCTAACTGATATTTCCTCTGCGATATCTTCAACAAGCATGGTTAAACTTGGAGACATAGTCTTTTGATTTGGTCCCAATTCCTGAGCAACCTCCCTTTTGAGAGAAAAGCTATCCAAGTTGCATCTCAGCCTAACTGCAGAACATAGCAGATAACACCATCTTCAGAATTTTTGAGTTTATGCCAAATTATAATAAACTAGCAGTAACATTGACAAAACAATTCTCATCTACGGTTTCTGTAGCCGTAGGCTTTCATTGTCCATAGTTGATTATCTTTTCTAGCCACAACACATACTGCCTTACAGTGTTCTCTCAATGCGTTAGTAAGTTTGTCTCCAGCATCATGAAACATGTCACTGTTGCTAAAACGTCGAACTCCCGCATTCAGAAAACATTTACAGGTACGCACAGGGCACGTCCAAAATCAGACATGCTGATTCAGCAGTTGATGTCTAATATCCAGACCAGAATCTGATCAGGAAACAAACAGGATTGTAACAGCTAGAACCTGTGTATACATGGCCACACCTTGCCCCCCCTCAAACTACAAGTCTCATTAAACACCATATGCATGAGTGCACAAGCACCACATGGTTGGTGCTGATCTCCGAATTCATGGCAGGACACATTATCCCGCACGCAAAAGTAGACGCTTGGACAGTAATTAAGAAGCTATGGATTACGCATTTCGTCGAACCGAACATGGGCGTGCACCTAAACCATACCAATCCCAACTATTCCCTGCTACCCATCGACCATTACAGTTGCCAAAGCTAAAGCCCTAGGCGAATCAAAGCAAATAGAACTCGATCCAGAACCCAAGAATCATTTACCCTCGTAGGCGAGGGAGTCGAGTCGAGCGCTTCCATGTTGCATGAGTGGGAGGAGACTAGCAGCTCGTTGGAGGTCCCAGGGATTTCGCCATCCATTACCCCATGGCCTGATACACATCCCTCTCTTCCTCACCGTATTAGCCCTCGGCAGACAGCCGTATGAGGACGCTACCACGACCGTGGCGGCGACGCGGGGGCGCGGCGGGTATCACGACTCTTAACTGTCCCAGCACTGTGAAGGTCGCATGGACACTTCGTCAGTGTTAATACTGTTTATACCACTGAAACATTCAGGGCTCATTTGGTGAGCAGGGAAAACGCAGGGATCCCCGCCTGATCCCTGGGACAAAAAAGCATGAGATATACCCACCCAGGGAGTTCGGCACGTTCATTTGGTCAGAGCCTGGGGGAGGGAAATGTCGGCCCATCCCCGCCGAAACCTAGGGATATAAATAAACTACCCGAGGCTCGTGGGAGGAAATCTCTGACTCTCTCGCATGAACTGAAATCTGCTCATGATGGAATCAAGCGCCACAACATCTGGGTAATTTTCCACAGTACCCTCCCAGGCCCCCAAATGGTCATGTGAATTTTCCACAGGGTTTTAATTTTGTCAAGAATATTTCGCCTAGTGCGTATCTTCCCAGGGTGTATCTCCCCTAGCAGCCAAACAAAGCCTCACTGTTTATATTTTTTCTATGACTTGAAAGCTGTTTGTGGGAATTTAAAATTATAATCCAAATTGAAATATTTTCTTTTAAGGTCTTTTGAATTATGATTTGATTTTATATTAATTTGACTCTCATTTTTCCTCTGTAAATTCCTTCTCCTTTTTTTGCGGAAATCCTCTGGAAATTCCTTAAAGAGACTGCTAAGGAGTTTTGAATTCCAATTTGAATGACCCAAAAATCATTAGAACTTAAAATAAACAATATACTTACCAAAAAATGGAGAAAATATTTTTGGTATCTTAAATTAGATTGTATGTAATAACTTTTAGATTTAATGAAGCAATCACAAAGATTATACACTTAAAACAAGTGAGATATGATCAATTTAGACAAAAACTGCATAGATTTTTCCAATTAGTAAACATGATGCAATTTTTTTCTAAGAAATTATTTATTTATCATACTTTAAAAGTTCGACTTGAAATCATGCTAGAATTTCAATTAATTTGGAGGCGGTAACGTAGGATTTGTACACCACATGGATGCATGCCTCGTCTCTTATATCCATAAAAATCATGAATTTTGATTTTCTTTTAAAATAAATTGAGAATATTTTAAATGATCTTTGAATAGTTAAGTATTATTTAAAGTTCCTAAACAGGAGTCAGTTTTTCTCTTTTGGTTAAGAAGACAAAAGACACCCCCACCCCCAAGCCCCTCTCGCGCCGCTCCCGCGAGCGATCGAGAGGGTGAACCCTAGCCGTCGCCGAACCACCTCCCAGCCCTCCTTTCCCTCCCCTCGCCGCTGTCGGAGTGTGTAGTGGGACGAAGCTCGTTGGCTTCGGTAGCGACTGGGCCTACTCCCCTCCCCTTGTTGTAGGACGGCGCGAGACGATACACCGTTCTGGCGCTTCTTCCTGGGCACGGCAGTGCAAGGGCGGGCTCCTACGGCACGACCGGGGTGGCCTTCCAGTAGCGTGGATGGCTGGCGCGCGTCGGGCGCTCTCGTCTGAAGCACGGGCATGGCTATCGGGGGTGCATGCGAGGGCGCGATGCAGTGGTGGTAGATCTAACGCGTGGTAGTTACTTGCTTCGCGAGCTAGGAGCGGTGCGGCTTGCTGACCCTGGGGTAGTCGGATGGGGCTGCTGACGGCGGTGGTGTCTGGGCTGTTCTCACGGGCGTGGAGGCAGGGCAGAGGTTGGTGGGTGGTGACCATGGGGTTGGACGGAGGTTACGAGACTTGCCTGGCAGAGCCGATGGGGGGCACAGCTGATCGGCGGCCGAAGTTGTCGGTTGCCATGAGCGACCCCCTTTTGGATCGGAAGTTGTCCGATCTGACGGGGTGATGTCCGCCTTTTCCTGGTGCGTTTATTGGCAGTGGGCCGGTGACACGCACTTGCCGCCATATCAGGAGTTTGACGTGGTTCCCTTACCCGAGGTGGGTTGGTCCTCATGTTAGTTCTGGCGCGCTATTGCCTTGGAGCTAGGCTTCTCGGCTCTAGGTTACTATCGGTTAAGCCAAGGTGGGAGCTTGTGGGTCGTTTGGGGAGGAGTCTTCATGTTGTGGTGTCGGTGAAGCTCCGTGGAGCTGGTGGACGGAACAACGTTGTGCCAACTGTTAGATCAGTGCTTCAACCCATGGACTTGGCGTCGTCTGAGTTGACTACTCGATGATGGCCGCCGACAGTCCTGGGTCATGTTCCCCTAATCCACCGGGACTGGAGGGGCCTGTTGGCGTGGGCGCCCCTATAGTGGGGGCGCTGACCTTGGCTCGGTGACTGATGACAGGCTTTTCCTGCCGCGCTTTGGGCTCTATGAAGCGGGCGGTTGGCGATGTGTTGTGGCATGGTTTTCGGGGTAGCGGCCCTAGACGGTGGTTCGCACGGTTTGCTCTCTGACAGCCACCATGGGGTGGTGGTGGCTGGTTTTCTTGGCAGTGTGGGTGGCAAGAGATATAACGGCGGTTGGCTCGGGCTTGCTGTCGTGGGATATGTACCCGTCGTGCTTGTCCTTGAGTCCTCGTGGTGGCACGAAGGAGCTGCTAGGGGAAAGCTCGGCGCATTGTCCTTGACAACGGTGAAGCTCGCGGGTGCCCCTTTTTTCTTGAAGACGTCGTCGTGGTGCTCCTTTCCATGTCTAGGTTTCAAGTGAAAACCTTTATGCGGTGGACTCTGTAGCGGTGCCGCTTTGCGTCGTTCTTCTTCCTCTTGAGGGCGTTGTCATGGAGTTTAGGTGTTCTAGGGCTTAGCGGGCATTGTAATCTGATCTTCCTAAGTTACTTTCGGTAGCGTATTTACGTGTGTGCTACTTGATCTGATTACTCTAGGATAGGCTTTGTGAGAGGGTTGCATCATCACATTATATCGTTCGGCCATGTACGTTATTCCGTTGTTGCTTTATATATAAATTGGTGTGTAAGCCTGATTCAAAATTGTGGGGTTATTAGTCTATAAATCTAAGGACTTCTGCAAAATTTTGTATTAATCAAAGAAGATTTTCAAAAAACCTGTGGGGTCAATTTAAAATAACATTAAATATAAATTATATAGTTTAAAAAACAAGTTTGATTCAAGGTAGGATTAGGAATCGGAGTCCCGCTGAGTCTACAAATCAGTTGACCACAGGTTACACGGAGCTCTACTACATATGGTTGCGATCGACTGACTGCATCGTCGTAATTGTTCGATCGATGGAGTCCGTCGTCGTCGACGCATCGGAGCCCGCGTGTCCGTGGGTCTTTCTACCGATGAATCTGCTCCTCGACGTCTCCGGCCGCCTGCACGACGCACGCGACTTCGTACGCTTTCACGCCGTCTGCCGGCGGTGGCGGAACGCACCACCGGCGGCGGCCCGCCACAAGTTCTTTCCATGGATGCTCTCGCAGCACACCGGCCGCGGCGTGCTCATGCACATCCCCGTGTTCTACTCGGGGAGCGTCACTCCCGAAGCGATTTCGACCTATCACCGCTGCTACGACGGCAACGTTCTCCCGTCGCTCGACGACACAGCTTGGGTGGCCGGCCCGAACGGCGAGGCCGTCTGTTGCTTCGATTGGCATCCCAAGCCAACACTCCATGACATTGTCACCGGAGCCATCTGCCCGTTGCCGCACTTCCCCGCTGACAACTATGAGATCGTGCGGCGGCTGGGGAACCCCCTTGGCATCGTGTATGGCGATGGCACTGTTTTTCTGTACAGCTTTGACGAACTAAATATTCACATGACTGGCTTCACGGCGGCCGTCCTGCGTCCGGGTGAGGCGGCATGGGTGATCATGGAAAAAAGGTTCTATGGGTCGGCGACATACAAGAACAACTGTGCAGCATATCACAATGGCAAGGTCTTTGTGTGGACGCGGAGACACTTCGACTGCTTCATGACACAGAATTTAGCAAACAATGGTGGTGACATAGACGGCATCAGGCTCGAGATGACGGAGGATAGACCCGAGCACAAACGTTACATGCGCTATTACAACTATGTCTTCGAGTCCTGCGGCAAGCTGTTGTGGGCGTCCGTCTTACTCGAGCATGAATGGTACCATAAAAACATGGACTCCTTGTCCACCAATGACCCCGTGATACCAAGGCTGGCGGTGATGGTGCATGAAGCGGAAGAAGAAGTGGACGGTGGCAAGATCAAGATGCGATGGGTGGAGAGAGATGGCCGGAGTTTGGGTGATCATGTCATGTTCCTTGGGTCCCCCACGAGCTTCGCTGTAGACTCCACCCAGCTAGACATGGACGGTGGGTGCGCCTACTTTGTCTTTTTACATCGCTTGTACAGGTATAACTTCATCACCGGCCAAACCAAACTTGTGGAGTCGCCACGTACTGGATGGATTTCCCCTGATGCACACCTGTGGCTCCGGCCACGACCTGTGATTTCTCCTATTGATGAAATTCGAGAAAGCCTTAGGATCCGGCCAAACAGAAAAGAAGACCAAAGAGGAAAAAATTCTGCAATTCAGTGGATTTATAAGTGGTTTTCGGGAATTTCGTAGTATATGATGAAGTTTTGTCTCGAAATTGTTTGCATAGTTTCGACTGATTTTGATATCATCAAAACAATAAACATTATTTTCTTCGCAGTTTACCTTTGAGTATGGAATTGCAGTTAGGAGACGTGAAATTCATGGTAGAGACAAGCTGGATGCTTAGTGAAAGTATAATAAGAGGTTTATAGTCTGCTTACGGGGCATTTTGCTTATGAACAGAGACATGAAAAAATAATGGGAGTTGACTCATGCAAGTTCTTGGTGTGCTCCTATGCAAATGATGTCTCCCCTAGCTAAACTTCTTTTTTAAATATTAAGAGATGATCGTTTCATAGTTCGTTGTCCCTTCACCCACACCCATCTAGCTACCACTAATATAAAAACATGAGCCTCCTCGGGGCGCTCCTGTGACTAGCTCGAGGAATCCATCTCTCTGCACAATGGATGACGCACTCCAGAACTGAGGTGTCTTAGAGCGATGTGATATATATTTTTCTCCTGCAAGACAACACACGAGCATATTTTTTTATTAAATATGAGTAAAGAAAAATAGAGTGGAGAGTGCAAAAAGTACTAGTGATTATTGTAGATACAATATTGGTTGACTTACATGCTGGATGCTACGGTTTACTGATACGGGCTGATCTGTTGAGATTATATTGGTCTCAAATATTGACTTCTACTTATTGGAACAACTATGCATCTATGAGATGCCATTAGCAGAATCAAATTGCATCTAAATCACCTCACAACATGAACAAAGAAGGGTTTACGGTTTCTTTACATGTCACGGGAGTGGACATGATCGCCTGCTCGGTGCAGGCGTGATGCAGGGGTGATGTCACTAGTAGAAAAGGGGGCAATGGTCCAGGCCGAGTCAGCCCATTAGTCCCGGTTCAATCCAGAACCGGGACCAATGGGGGCATTGGACCCGGTTCGTGAGCCCCGGGGGCCGGCCAGGCCACGTGGGCCATTGGTCCCGGTTCGTCTGGACCTTTTGGTCCCGGTTGGTGGGACGAACCGGGACCAATGTGCCTTGCTCCTGGCCCACCACCATTGGTCCCGGTTGGTGGCCTGAACCGGGACCAAAGGCTTCCCTTTAGTCCCGGTTCAAGCCACGAACCGGGACCAATTAATTGCCTATATATACCCCTCGCCCGCGAGCAGAGCACTCTCATTGCTTTGTTTTTCGTGGCAGGCGAGGAGAGAGCTTTATGGTGCTCTAGCTCACCTCCTATGCACACGAGGTGTTCGATGGAATGCCCGAGCCACACTACTTAAGTTTTCTCCTCTCCAAACTCGACCTCCAAACTCCATTTTTCTCAATATTTGTCTAGGTTTAGCGGTTGTCACGTCCCGTCCCCGTCTTCACTGCCGTCGATCACCCGCGCCGATCTCGTCGCCGACACCATCGTGGTGAGCCTGTTGTTCTTATCTTCTTTCTGAAAGGAAAAAAATATTCTTACTTGTATGTTTATATAGATACTTGTATAATTTTCTTACTTTTATTATTGCATCTTATATAATGCGATGGTTTTGGTATCCGCCCCCGTCGGCCCTCGTCCTGTCCATGATTCAGATGTGGTATATATTATCTTTTCATAACTATTGGTTCATCTATTGTTTATGACAATTATGCCGACCAACGTGACATAGATTTTATTTATCTAGGAGGTTGTTGAACCGGAAATTCCAACCGACCCTATTGTCGAGAGGTTAAATTTAGTTGAAGAAGAAAACAATTTTTTGAAGGAAAAAATTAGAAAAATTGAGGAGGAGAAGATAATATTGGAGTTGCATGTTGCGGATGTCGTGGATGATCACAAGATCAAGATGGATGCAATGCGCTTGAAGATTAGAAAGATTAGAAAATATGCCATTCATATCGAGGCTTGCTATCATTATGCCATTGGATCAGTTGTTACATTAGTTGCGATTATGATCGCATTTGTTTTCGCATTGAAATGTTTTACATAGTTTCAATGTATGGTTTAATTAATTTAGATGCTCTGCAGAGCTTTATGTTGTTAGATGAGAACTATGTATGTACTTTGGTTTTAATGTGATGATGAACTTCTATTAATTTGGTCACTTAATTATCTATTCATGATGTTCTGTAATGATTTTTGACACACTTAATTATATATAATGCACGAACATGAACCGGCAATGGATGTACGGTTCAAGACACACCTCCGAGTACATTAAGGGCGTGCATGAATTTCTCGAAGTGCATGAGGCAAACAAGCAGAATGTTTTTATGTGTTGTCCATGCCCTATATGTGGGAATACGAAGTCTTACTCTGACCGGAAAATCCTTCACACCCACCTGCTTTACAAGGGTTTCATGCCACACTATAATGTTTCGACGAGGCACGGAGAAATAGGGGTTATGATGGAAGACGACGAAGAAGAAAAGTACGATGACAACTATGTGCCCCCTGAATACGGTGATGCTACTGAAGATCAAGAGGAACCAGACGATGTGCACGATGATGCTGCAACAGGCGAAGCTGCTGAAGATCAAGAGGAACCAGACGATGTGTCCGATGATGATGATCTCCGCCAGGTCATTGTCGATGCAAGGACGCAATGTGAAAGTCAAAAGGAGAAGCTGAAGTTCGATCACATGTTATAGGACCACAAAAAAGGGTTGTACCCCAATTGCAAAGATGGCAACACAAAGCTCGGTACCGTACTGGAATTGCTGCAGTGGAAGGCAGAGAATGTTGTGCCTGACAAAGGATTTGAGAAGCTACTGAAAATATTGAAGTAGAAGCTTCCAAAGGATAACGAATTGCCCGACAGTACATACACAGCAAAGAAGGTTGTATGCCCTCTAGGATTGGAGGTGCAGAAGATACATGCATGCCCTAATGACTGCATCCTATACCGCGGTGCGTACAAGGATCTGAACACATGCCCGGTATGCGGTGCATTACGGTAGAAGATCAGACGAGATGACCCTGGTGATGTTGACGGCGAGCCCCCCAGGAAGAGGGTTCCTGCGAAGGTGATGTGGTATCCCCTATAATACCACGGTTGAAACGTCTGTTCAGAAATGGAGAGCATGCCAAGTTGATGCGATGGCACAATGAGGACCGTAAGAAAGACGGGAAGTTGAGAGCACCTGCTGACGGGTCACAGTGGAGAAAAATCGAGAGAAAGTACTGGGATGAGTTGCAAGTGACCCAAGGAACGGATGGTTTGCTTTAAGTGCGGATGGCATTAATCCTTTTGGGGAGCAGAGCGGCAATCACAGCACCTGGCCCGTGACTCTATGTATGTATAACCTTCCTCCTTGGATGTGCATGAAGCGGAAGTTCATTATGATGCCAGTTCTCATCCAAGGCCCTAAGCAACCAACGACATTGATGTGTACCTAAGGCCATTAGTTGAAGAACTTTTATAGCTGTGGAATGGAAACGGTGTACATACGTGGGATGAGCACAAACAGGAGGAATTTCACCTAAAGGCGTTGCTGTTCGTGACCATCAACGATTGGCCCGCTCTCAGTAACCTTTCAGGACAGACAAACAAGGGATACCACGCATGCACGCACTGTTTACTTGACACCGATAGTATATACCTGGGAAGCTGCAGGAAGAATGTGTACCTGGGCCATCATCGATTTCTTCCGACCAACCATCAATGTCAAAAGAAATGCAAGCATTTCAAAGGAGAGGCAGATCACCGGAGCAAGCCCGCCATGCGTACCGGTGATCACGTACTTGCTATGGTTAATGATTTACACGTACTCTTTGGAAAGGGTCCCGGCGGAGTAGCTGTTCCGAGTGACGCTGGGGGACACGCATCCATGTGGAAGAAGAAATCTATATTTTGAGACCTACCCTACTGGAAAGACCTAGAGGTCCGCTCTTCGATCGACGTGATGCACGTGATGAAGAACCTTTGCGTGAACCTGCTAGGCTTCTTGGGTGTGTATGGGAAGACAAAAGATACAGCTGAGGCACGGGAGGACCTGCAACGTTTGCACGAAAAAGACGGCATGCCTCCAAAGCAGTATGAAGGTCCTGCCAGCTATGCTCTTACCAAAGAAGAGAAGGAAATCTTCTTTGAATGCCTGCTTAGTATGAAGGCCCCGACTGGCTTCTCGTCGAATATAAAAGAAATAATAAATATGTCAGAGAAAAAGTTTCAGAACCTAAAGTCTCATGACTGCCACGTGATTATGACGCAACTGCTTCCGGTTGCATTGAGGGGGCTTCTACCGAAAAACGTCCGAGTAGCCATTGTGAAGCTATGTGCATTCCTCAATGCAATCTCTCAGAAGGTGATCGATCCAGAAATCATACCAAGGCTAAGGAGTGATGTGGTGCAATGTCTTGTCAGTTTCGAGCTGGTGTTCCCACCATCCTTCTTCAATATCATGACGCACGGCCTAGTTCATCTAGTTGACGAGATTGTCATTCTGGGCCCCGTATTTCTACAAAATATGTACCCCTTTGAGAGGTTCATGGGAGTCCTAAAGAAATATGTCCATAACCACGCTAGGCCAGAAGGAAGCATCTCCATGGGCCATCAAGCAGAGGATGTCATTGGGTTTTGTGTTGACTTCATTCCTGGCCTTAAGAAGATAGGTCTCCCTCAATCGCGGTATGAGGGGAGACTGACTGGAAAAGGCACGCTTGGAAGGGACTCAATAATATGCAGGGACGGATATTCTTGGTCTCAAGCACGCTACACAGTTCTACAAAACTCTACCTTGGTGACCCCGTATATCGATGAACACAAGAACAGTCTGCGCTCCAAACACCCGGAGCAGTGCAACGACTGGATTACATGTGAACACATCAGGACTTTCAGCAGTTGGTTGGAAGCACGTCTCAGAGGTGACAACACTATTTGTGATGAGCTGTACTTGTTGTCCAGGGGACCATCTTCGACTGTTATGATTTGGAAAGGATACAAGATAAATGGGAATACATTTTACACGATTGACCAAGATCAAAAGAGCACCAACCAAAACAGTGATGTCCGCTTTG